ACACACACACACACACACACACTTTAAAGATGGTGATTATGCCCTTGGAAAGATGATTTCTTCATCTTTTTTTTTATCTCTTTTCATTTTACTGTTAAACAAGTTCAAACAACTTTCTTCTGTTACATTTTTTGGGACATTCCATGCATATCACTTTTTTACCCTTATCTGCTGAATATAGAGATATTTCCACCCTTCACAAGAGGGAAAAAAATATCAGATGATTGGAATAGTGTCCTTTTTTTAAGTCACACTGGTGGTTTGCGTCCGATAAGAGCCATAGAGGACATTGTGGGAACTCCCTTCCTTTCTCAGAGATAAAAATTACTCTCTGTCACAGAAAATTGACAAAGGAGGTGGTTGGAAATAGCWTTTAGAAAATRCTTAACGGAGAGTGTGAAAAAGAARCRTGAGAATAAAGGATAGAAGCAAGTATTCACTTGGTTTCAAATTACAGATTTRTGTAGCCCTCTTTTCTTGACTAAACTCATATTTTAAGCTGCATCAAATATCAGGTTGTCAAGGGTCTTTATGCATATAATGCGGTTCAGTTTGATTTACAGATTACTGATTAAAYCATATGTTACAGTTTTATTTATCAAAGAAATGAATACTTTAGAGAAATTTTTGTTTGTCAAATGATTATTAATATGAGCTTGCAAACCACCCTTAAAATGAATAATTTTAGTAAGGATTCTGTGACATTCGGGTGCTCTCCAATATATCAGGGCAGTATTTGACTCATTAGCTCAAGTGGATATGACTAAAGGTAGAAAAACAACAGTATCAGTAATCATTAGCGTACACTTCAATGCATCTTTTTTGTTTGCTAGCCAGTTTTCATGCCAAGGTTCATTTAATCTGAAACTTATGTTTGTTCACAACCTGGAAACTGGATGAAGTGCAAACCCAAGATAATCATATTTATAACCATTATAAAGTTGATGTTGTGTTTACTCAATTAGTGTTAGTGTGTGTGGTGGAAGTTGGTTTTATTTTACAGGCTTGTCTGGACCATGTAACACAACAATCATTTTATGGCTCTGTTTTAGTTTCTCCCACCTCTGTGGAGAGGCACCCAACTCTATATACAGTAAATATTGTCTRACAGAGTGTGCTTCAGTGCATTTGTTGGGATTGTTAGTCTACGTTTTATGCAAAGCTGCTTTTATTATTGTAATTTTAGTTTCTACATAACTTGGAAACTGCATTAACTAGACACATTTATTGCCTTTTTAAAGCTGTAATTGTGTTAGCCACATTAGCTTTACTGTGTAGATAAAGTGGGCTTTTACAACTTTTTGGGGTCTCTACCACCCTATAAAGAAGAATCTTCTTCTCTTTGATACAGTATATTGTTTATTTTGCAAACTGGCTTGCAAGGTTTTTTTCTTCTTCTTGTTTTGATGTTCAAAAGGATTCAGGACTTTGTAAATACATTTGAGGGAATGACTAAAACTTGAATGGTTAGTGGAAAGACATTGTATTTAGTAGGAAAAACAACACATTTTAGCAATGCAGTGTAGAAATGAGCTTACCAAGGCAAATTTTTTGACTACTTTTGATTTCACTTTTTTGTATGTTTCCCTTTTTCCCCACAAGCCAGTTTATGAGGACCCTTTTGTTATTTCATGAGTAAACAATCCAGAATATTTCTGAGTGTAATTTCATATCTAAAATTAAAATGGTCATTGTTTCAGGTATCACAGTGCATTTTGTGCAAGTCTCGGCCACAGAGTTTTTGAAATAACTATACGGTGGGTTTTGGAAAGAGTTGTTTTTTCATGTTTAGTCATCTCTTGAACATGAATCCAAACAAAGCCAATAAGTTTCTTTTTCTCTTTAAAGTGATTCTTTTCTACATGTTGCAAGTCCAGCGGTTTTTCAAACCATTTGCGAATAAAAGCCTGTGWGGTTCTTTTCTTCGTTTTTGCTAGATAAAATCCATCCTGTGAGAACTTTTTGTGCATCGTGTAGAACTCACCGTCTCATTTGTTCCCTTCTGTGCTCAATATTTCTTTTGCTCSGGGCTCTCTTGTCTCTCGAACACAACAATAGTTGCGTGCACACTTCATTCCCTTCTCTGTTTCCCTGCAAACAATGTTCCTTTCTGCTCTGTGTTTTGCTTTTGGATCACAGCTTCTTTTTTGTCCCCCACAACAGTCATCTCRGTTTCTCTCAAACTGAAACAAAACAATATTGTTTCAAATTTCAAGAGGAGCTCAGGCATGAGAAATAAGGTGTCAAACAAACAAAGAGGTGCACTGAAACAGAGAAAACCCACTACTGTGACGATGAAAGGCAAATACAGTATAGACATGTAAAATGACAGTTGTTTATTTTAGTCATGCCTTCAGTCTTCTTTTTCATGACTAACAGGCCTCTATTCAGTCTAAATAAGAAAAGAAAAAAGAATTAATCTGAAAGTAAGTGAAGCCAAAATAGGATAAACTAAACCAACAAAAATTAAACCATATGGAAATATCAGATTAAGCCAACAAGGGGTTTATGTTCCCTCATCCTGGAGTGCAGAGGAAAACTGGACATGTCCTCCATTTGTTTGCCCATAAATACAGTCCAGAAATCTTCAATGCCTGAGTTCGCCCCCTGCTGGCCTACGGCTGAATCCCAGGCATTCAGACAAACAATCTTCACTCTTATGTAATTACAGCTTTAAAAAATATGTGTTGTTTAATGATTCGGACATGTATCTACCCTATTTAATTAACACGTCATATAACAAACATTATAAAAGTATTATAAAATAAGGAAACCCTAATACTCTGGTGTTGTATGTAATATCAGTACTAAGCAATAATAACTATAAATTTCTTCACATCAGTTGGTCTTGTGAGCTGGATAACATTTTGGTGTGTGTTTTCGTCTACATGTGAGAGAGGTTTCCATCACAAWCTGGGCTGCCATGTCAAAATCCAAGCTGACCATTGCTATATAAACGTATATAAACAGATCCACTTGGTCATGCTTTCTAGTTTTTTATATTGTTTAAAATGCAGTTTCCTCGGACGACTGGAGTGGCCAAAGAATAATCTTATGCCAAGAGCACAATTGGCCACCCTCTGGCTCTGCCATCATTATGGGGACATCAGCATACTGCTTGTTGTTCTTCAGTTATCTTTCCTAAACAAATAAAACAAAACAATCCTCATTTCAGGTCTACAACACATTTTAAATGATAAAAAAAAATTAATTAAAATATCACTTTTATTAATTTGTGACATTCAGGCAATAAATATACAAATCAGGTTTTTATACATCCATTTATTATCTTTTGCCTGCTCCTTCCTTTCCAGGGTCACTGGATATCCAGCAGTCACTGTGTTGCAAGTCCTTCACAGGGACACAGACACATGAGACAAACAACCATTCACTCTCTCACTCACAGAGTTACCAAGCAGCCTAACATTCAAGTTTTGGGGTCTTTGGGAGGAAACTGGGAGAAAACCCATGGATGCACAGAGAGAACATGCAAACTCTACCCAGAAAGGTCCCCAGCCGGGATTCGATCTGACAACCTTCTTGCTGAGAGGCTTCAGCTTTACCAACTGAGCCACCGTGCCACCATTTTTTCCTTAATTGCTTTAGCAAATACAAACTGGGTGTAGCTTGGTTAATAAATTAACCTAAATTTTGATGTGTTGTCTGATGCTGAGTCGTTTATAACACATACTTAGAAAAATAAAATATTACAATTTAATGCTCAACTGCATTAAATAGCTTAGAAAGTTATTTTGAAGGTTTGATCAAAACTACTAAACCCTTATTCTCAACATAAAATGAATGGTCTAAAGTTGTAGCATTACAAGTGGTGGGCGATACGCATTTCATAAAGAATGCTAGGCATGTATTTTTGAAWAAATAAATAAATAAATAAAAGTTTTGTTGACCTGAAAAGCAGGATTATAGTCATAACGAGCAAAATTAAAACAAAATTAAAATTTTTGGAGCATCAGCAAGTTAAAGTCCAAATTTGCTTTTATCTACAGGCTCACTGTACTTTACAACTGAATGCATCAAAGTGGATTACTGAACACAGACTAACAAACTGACTTTCAAAGTGTAGCCCTGGTTGGTGGCAAATAAAAAAAATAAAATAAAAGAATGCGAGGACAAAGCGAGATGGATGAAAAGAGCAGGATGATTGACAAGTGATCAAACTGAAGAGACATGTAAAGAAATACAAACAGACAGCATGGATCTTTACCACAAAGAAGCCTTAAATTAAAAAAAAGATACTTTTACTCAATAGGCTTWATGCTTCATTTGCCTTTTAATCAAATTCCAACATTTAGGTTTAAACGTACTTTATGTGAACATAACTGCACAAACTGCTGACTGATGCTTGTCTTCCTCCTTTGAGAGGTTAACAGTGTTATATTCCTGTTCAAGCGGACCTCACCATGTTTTTGTGTGCCATCRGCGTATTAAGGTCATCCATTAAGCCCCTAGTGGCACCATGACACAGACGACTGCTATCATCTCTGTCTCTGTTGATTGCTGCTGTTTCCCTCCGGGCAGAGCCTTTTTAATCCTCTAAACATAACTGACAATGTTGCTAAAGAAATAGGTTAAAGTCAACTGTAAGGTAACATTTCTAGAAATGGAAACTTATTTACATTTAAGTTATTATCTCTTCCAATAAAATCATTTACCAAAAGTGCATTTGAAAATAGATTTTGGACTCACGCAGTAAGCGATTTCAAATGTGAAAGTGGTAACAAAAACAGCCTAAATACGCCTGATTTAGCAATTGTGTGTAAAATGGAAGCAAAGGCAGCCATGTGTGCCCTGCGTTTTATGAAAGCAGCAGCTAAAAACAAACAAAAAAAAGGATGGAGAAGGAAAGGAGGGATAGTGAGGGGCGGAGCGTCGAGGAGAATGCGCTGACGTGCTGTCACCTGTTTGCCGGTTCGTTTGCCCGGGGCCACTGCTGTGCACTCTTATTGGGGAAGCTTTTGAAGCCTGATTTGTCGCTTGGCTGGGTCTGCGCATGGCTTGATGCTCGGTGGAGTGGCTGTCCCAGTCACATCCCCTCATAGAGTAAGAGCCGCTGTCTGAGGCTCGGACGGGGCAGGATGAGGAGGCAGTACAGGGAAGATGGGTATTACCCACATTCGGAGGTATGTGGTCATTGAACGCAACTCTAAAACCTTTGCAGGTATAGAGATGGAAAGAGCCTTGCTTTTGAACTCTTTGSTGGGTCTTCAGTGAACGGTCTTTCTATATCTTTTCAAGTATTTCCACAAAATAACTCATTTTCTCTGATGCATTTATTGAATCTTTGTTGTATTTTGTGTGCGTACGTTTTCTGGTCACATTTTGTACAGTGTATGTTTTAAACCTGTTTCTTATTTTGTTTGTTTGCCACAGCAAGCCCTTGATTCCAACCTGAGTAATTTAATCAAGAGGAACAACGAGCTGGAGTCTTTAATGGGCAGATTGATCCAGACTTGTCAACATGTCGAGGTGAGTCCCAGTGGTCTTGTAGGGTCACAGTGACCCAGATTGTCTGCAGAGGGAYGATTTTAATAAAACTAATGGACTGCTTGTGCCATCAGGTGAATGCAAGGTTAACAAACYGCCTTGCATTTGCTAAAGAAAGCTAACTAAAACCTGACTTTTTTTTCTTTTGCCATTCACTTGATATCGCAGCACATCTTTCATGCAACTTGTATCGTGACTGAGCTTTTTGTCTTTTAACAAAAGTTAGCAGCTAAAGCTAATTTGAACTGTGAGAATTTGTTTCAACTTCAACATTGTTGTGTCGACATTTTCAAATATTAGTTGYTCAAAAAGGTGTTTTTAAGGTTCAACCATAGGCTTTGAAAATGTGGCGTGACTAAATTATTAAGAAAAACAACAAATGCCCGTGCTCCTTGTTCAACTGGGTGGAATTTACATCCYATAGATTGTACATGTAACAACGAAAAAAAGAACAGATAAAAGTTATAAGTCAGATTTGCAATGATCTTATATTACATGTGAGGTSTATACAATTTTAGGCTTGACAGCTGCCACTCAGGTAATGTCATACAAAGCATCTTTAAAACAATAACCAAGCATAAAATTAAAGTCATTTCTCTCTATTGCTCATCATTTGGTTGGGTTRAACATATTTATTGTTGTGTTTGAAGATTTGTGTGGATGTTTGCATGTGTTTAGCTCTGCTCAGGGCATTTTTGTGCCAAGCCTGCCTGTTCACGTTATGTTGCAGCGCTAAGATGCTTTAAATAAAGCAGTGCCACAGGGTTTAAAAATTACAGAGAGCAGCCTCTCTGCCTGCCAAGACCTTTTCAAAGTGCAAGGGAAAAGAGGATTSTGAAATGTTGAGATTTAGTTCCTTTTCTTTTTTTTTTCCTTGAAGTGTTTTGCATGCTTTTGTGCTAATGTTTTCTGTGGGCAAAGATGAGAAATTTAAAGCCAGAGAAGCACAAAACAATRTAAAATGGAAAGACTTTACTTAAGCAGTAAGTGTTTCGTCTATGAGGAATATTTTCTGAAGCCTCCATGTACGCATAAGCATTTTTTTGTTAAAATTTGTAAACATTGCTTATTGTTCATAGAGCAGAAGTGACAAACCAGTGGCCAGAAAAGTGAAGTAGACAAAAGTATGCTCTCATAACTTTTAGATTAAGAACATACGTTTTTGGTTCTATAGGCTTAGACCCCAAAAAAACATTGAGCGCTGGTGGATCTTACCAAAACAGTTAGTACTTTTTAAACTGTACAGGTTTAAAAAGCTGCTGAATAAAATATTTGGGGAGCAAARAAACTTGAGACAGTGGAACGTATTCACTGTACAAGTTCCCCTGACTTCTTCAAAATGTGAYCCCTAATAATAACAACCAGAAATGCAAGATTATGCCAGAAAAATAAAACTTACACCTACAGTGAAACGCCTCCTGAATGCTTTGCTTGGGTGGTAAGAAAACTTTAGCCTACGATAAACTTCACTTTGTTGAAAGTTAAGGGATACAGATTTCTCTCACTTCCTCTGGCTTGAATACATATTAATAAAAAAA